ATGCCCCACGTATCAGATATTAAACTGATAAGAACAGATACTACACTTGATCTTAGCCAAAAGGCCGAGAAAGGTATGCTTTTCCCATTGTTCAGGTTTGCCTTTTGTAATCACGAGAAATCGGCGTTATGTTCTCCGTAGTCAATGTGGGACTAAACCTGGTGTTTAGCTCTTTACGGCACAGCATGTTAACATACTTAGTTGGGAGTAATTAGTCAACCATGTTAATCATTTTTCAGCTAAAATTTAATTGGACTGAAAATTTTCAGCCAAATGCAACCACCACATCAACTAACACATTAAAAATGATAATAAAAGGTGTTGTGCGAAGATAATCCTTTAGCATCTTTGCGCTTGGTGCAATGACACAGCTAGAAAGGTTATACAGAGGCATGTAAAATGTTGGTTGAAAACTATTTCAAGACCCCCTCCTCGGCTTTTCGTGAATGCCTGGGCCAATGTGCCATTGAGAATTTCTAGAAAGGCTCACTCTAAACAAGGGTAAATTAAAGCCTGTAGAATCATTGAAAGTATTGTGGGAGTAACAAGAGCTACTAGGACTCGACCAAACCGGTTAATCGCTCAAATTTTGGATGAAATCGACCTGTTTAAGGAACTAGTTGAATGAGAATGATATCTGGTTTGCACAAGGCAGAATCTATGTTAAACTTAAAACTGATAGAATCAAATTCTTAAGTTGAACTGGCAGTTTGAGACTATCCCCCATAGAGATATATGTTAGGCGAGCCAAGCCCGTGCAGTTGTTCAACACAAGGGTGAATAGCAAGCTATTGTATTGGACTTTCCCCAGAGATAATTAACATCATGATATGATAGCAACTGATTGTTACCATCTAATGTGAAGCATATATACTAGGATCATGACAATTACTATTCACTCGCCCAAGAACTTCGGACTTAGCTTCTGCCAATTCCAGAACCCCGTGAGGGTGGTTAAGTATATAATGAATGCCATAGTAGGTGCTATCAACCGCATTGTACATTTTGTATGTATGCATGGAGCTTGGACCAACGTAATGTTCACTCCCATGAAAGACGCCTTTGCAAGAGGGTGGTCAATGAAACCCTTGAGGGAGAGTGAACAACTAATGCCTAGATATATTGAAAGAAATGATGCTGGGACGTTGATCAAGGAAAATTTGATACGCAGGGCATTGCCTCAGATGATACGCAGGGCATTGCCACCTCTTTATGAGGAACTTCAATTTATGTATGAAATGTTTGATACGCAGGGCATTGCCTCAGATGATATTAAAAAAAATTGCTTTTAGGGGGAGTCTATTACAATAGCTTATTGTTGGGACTGGCAGGCATCACCCTTGCCTTGCACTACGGCAAGGGCATGCATGCGCACCCCTACTAATACACGTTTACAATTCTCTCATCATGAAGTTGAGCTACTGGCAGTATGAGTAAGACATGGTAAAAGAAAACTCAAAACACTATTCTTATCACCAGTTTATACCAAATAACCAACTCATACTGGCAGTTTAGTGATTTGAATTGCACTATCAGAGGGGTGCTCGCCTTGTATAACATATTTCCATTGGGTCCTAAAGTGCATTCCACCTTAAAATTATTATTTTTCCCTGAAGATATTTATTTTA